GTAGCCCGGGCCATTTCATAGTAATCCCATGCCTGCGTCGGGAAAGGTAGCCCCTGAGCCCGGGCCATTTCATAGACCACTTTGTCTATAAAATGACTCTGCCAACCTACCCCTGTATAAGTAAGGGGTATGCTGCAGGTGGAGGCCCCCTTTTCGCGGAAGTGAGGGATGGCAGGAGATGATGTTGCAGCACACGGAGACGGGGGTTCTGCACCGGCCATCGCAGCTTGGGGGCCCCGCCTGTGCACCGTTTGCGGATGGAGGTGGTCTGAGATGGGTCCGCAAAGGCCGCTTTTGCAGAACTAGCGCCGCCAGAGCGACGGGGCAGAAAAGAAGAGTGAGCTGCTGGGGGGGGGGGTGGGCTTTCAGGGGCGGGCAGGTGAGGGCTGTTCTGGGTCGAAGTTGGGTTCTCCCTTAAACCCCGTTGCCGTTACCTCTTATCGGGCAAATCCGGTGCCTAACCGCCCTCGGTTTTGAGGATTTGAGGAGGAAAGAAGGAAAAAAAAGAAGTAGGAGACTAGGAGAACACAGGTGGGCCCCGTATCCGGGAAAGCACGGGTTGCGGTTCCATCGGCTCCTCGTCCCAACCCCGGCTCTCAGAGAAAGCCGGAGATGGGTAACCTTGCGGGCACAGCCCGAGACCAGCCGCCTCACAGGGAAAAGAAATGAGGGTGCCGGGCGGTGGGGTTGGGGGCACGCGAACACGAACGGTTGTTGACTTTGGACAACTGAATGCAGTTTTCCTTGAATGTGGTGCTGAGTTACTCTCTGCATACGTGAAGGTGTACATAACAGGCAACTTGTGCACTCCAACACGACCGCCCCTCTTTGGACAGAACAAGGTAGGTAGAAGGCGTTGCAGCGTGTGTTCGCGTTCAACGTGCAACAAGCCGTTCTAGTCTCAACAGTCCTGTCAAATCTACTCAGTATCGATCGCTCACTTGGTGGTTGTGACTTGATTTTGGTGGGTGGTTTGCTGGTTTGGGTTGGTTGTTCCCTTTGAGGATCTGCGAAGGATTGTGCATTGCTTGGGTCGTCGGTCATGCCGTCTTTCAGCGCTTCACAGCAGACTGTAGGCTCGTTCAGAAGGGCGTTCTCGATTCTAAAAGCTCGCAGCGGAGGATACCGGTTTCGGTCGTTTTGTCGAAGAGTTCACGGCATTGGAGAGGTTTGCTGCGATGTCGGGGTGTCCACTAGGTTGCTTGTGTTCCGCTCGAGCTTCCTGTTGCCTGTGGCGGATCACATCCAACCGGTATGCATGTGCCGTCTGTAGTCAGTGTAGTCTTGGAAAAAGCTCACGTCGCAGGTCCTCGGTGATGGCTCTTGGCGACAGTCGGTGGAATCCAAGACCGGCGCTCGAGTCATCGCCGTGCTCCCATAATTTGTCAAACACGTCAGAGATGAATCCGGGCCGTTCTCTATATCTTTTCAGTATTTCTGATTACTCGCCCAACCTCAGAAGATTTCGAAGGATTATGATTTCGCCTACTAGATTTGTCAGTTTGTACCCTAGCCCATTCGAGAGCTGAAAAAAGGTTGCTTTTATCGAGAGCCCCTGCGGCGAATCAGCGGCCGCTCCCCAAAGCTGTTCGCGGACATTTTGGAAGCGCAAGCGAGGGGGGGAAGCAGCTGCAGAGAGGCAGCAATTGAAAGAATTTTTGTTATTAAGTGTTTGAGGATGGGAGCGAGGAACTGGTGGGGAGCAGGCAAGAGGGAGCAGGGCGGCAGCCGTACCGGGACAACTGCGGCATCACAGCAGTGGTTTTATTCTTTCGGCCACAGGGCTCCGGCGGGGGATTGGGGGGTGGTCGGACGCGAGCAGCGTGGAGCGTGGCGAGTGAAGTTATAGCAGCACTCTTAGGAGGGATGTGGGTATGGTCCAAGTCAGGGTCGTAGAACTGTAGAACGGCTGCTGGGAGATGTAGGTGGTGGTGTAAGTAGTGCACGAAGTGTCCGTGAGCCCGACAGTTTCCGAAAGGATTCTTAAATGATCTCTTCAAGGAGCCCCAGTCGCCCTGGCCCTACGGTTCCTCATGGATGAGGATCCTTGAAAAAAACCCTGAAGGAGTCCTTAAAGTTGAGCCTTTCTCATCTGGGCCGCGGGACCAGCAGCATCATGGGCAAAAGCTGTCCTGCACCGAGACGGCGAGCATCACGAACACCCTCAGCTGATGCTCATGATGCGGGCGCATGCTGTGGGCGGTTTGCAGCGTGGACGCGGTCGGCGGCGTGGCGGGTGTACTCGCTGGGATCGCAGAAAATACATTCACAAGGGCAGGAGCAAGGACGTGCTACGCGGAGGGTGCAGAAAAGGGGGTATGAGCATGAGCAAGAGAAGTCGACGGCAGGCGGCGTGGCTGGCGTAATTGTTGGGAACGAAGAAAAATTGCGAAGAAAGTTCGTTTTGCCTTTAGGAAGAAAGGGGCGGACAGGCAGGAGAGCAGTAGGGCACAGTCCCTGCAGGTTGGGGGACGGGGCGGAGGTGGTGGAAGGGGGAGGGGGTACGAGAGAGAGAAGCTGACGGCAGTGTGGGTGGGTAATGGGAGCAGCATGGCGAGAAGCGGGAACATAAGAAAAGAGGAGGTCCACACAAAGTAGGCAAAGAGGCGGAGAAACGTGTACATGCGATGGGACACGCAGCACCTCCAACCGCCGCCCCGGGCTGGCCTAGCAGAGCAGAAATTCCATACTGTGGCATGGCACTGTCTTCAACATTTGCAACCGGCTTCCAAGCAAGAGAAGCCGTTACGAGATCGTCCTAAACCAGTTTGGCACCTGCGTGGCCATGTCAATGTACGTTTTAGCCATCAGTGAGTCCCTTCTTGCAAGGCACCGGGATTGCTCAGGCAAGGTGTAATGATCTTGCCTGCGGTGTCGTGGGAAGGGTTAGGCACCCTTCGCAGAGAACTGGACCTGCTGTGATGAAAGAGGAGTTGATTCCAGGATATTTCAAACCGGTGGTTCCATGCTGGGGCCCTTATTATCTAAATCTAGGCTTCCATAGTCTGGGTCCTAATTTTTCTGAGATTTTTCAGGAAAGAGGTATTATTAGTTGGACGGGTTGCAAAACCAAGCCGTGGTTGCGATGTATGCAGAAGCCAATTGCCTGGAGATGCAATCAAGAGTGCGCATCTTTCTGCAAACGGTTTTCTCAGAGCGCGAAATGATTCGATGATGGTTATGGGCTGTCGTTGGCAGCCCAGCTCCAATGTCGAACGCATGGTTGCAATGAAATGAGCTGCAGATCCCCTCAGTGACTGGTGGGAAACGACATGCGAAGTGTGGAGTCCAGTGTGCCAAGGTTCGGCGAGATGCTCAGAAGTGCCAGCTTGAGCTTTGCGGAAGGCCCGAGCAGGCAGGGGCAAAGTGATGGGCCGTGTGCCGCAGAATGTAGCAGCTTGCATCCTTGAGGTGGTTGAAGCGGAGCAGTTCGCGGAAGAGACTGTCCGGTGCGGCTTTGACGAGCCCCCTGGCCCGACCGATCACTTGACCTGTGCAGGGTCATCGCAGCCGGTACCCCGGGTCCCGAGTTGCAGCCTCAAAGCACGTCACCAGTCTCTCTCGCCAAATCAAGTTTCACACGTGCTAGCATCCTGGGGCGGCAAGGACAGGCACTTCCAGCTCCGCGGTTGTTGTCGTGCCGGCACCTCGAATAGGATTGTTTTGGTCGCATGGGACTCGGACTTGGTCTGAGGCCGCCCTCGCCTCTGCCGCCACCACCAGGCCCGCAGCGAGGGCCCCCCTAAAGGCCTTAGTGTGAAGAAAGAATGATGTCAGAGACTTCTGCTTCCTTCTTTCGACCACCGAAAGCGGCTCGTGAGTGCCTGATTTGCGGAGTGGAAGGTCAGAGTCGGCGCAGTGCCAGCGACTTATTTGCCGGGTCTCCTCTCAGGTGTGCCAAGCCCGGGCGCGATGGGCGCGTCAACGCTCAGCAGGCTCGCGGCTGGCGCCCCTGAGCATTACAGCTGAGTAGCAAACGGAAGAAGTTGAAGCTATTCCACGGAGGCCGCCTTCCCCCGCGCCAGGTGCAGCGGTGTCAAGACGTTGGCAATTGTTATTTATCGCATACTCGTGTAACAGCATGGCCAGGCATTGCAACTCGAGCGCAGGCAAGGGCCGCGGTTGCGAATGCAGTTTGCGAAGAACCCGACATGTCGCTAGCATGTTCGAGTTCACGTGGGTACAAGCTGGGAATCCTCGTACCGCGCGTCAGCAACCTGTCCTTTGTCTTCCAAGCCGACGTGGCACCGTCAGCGCATGTCAGCGCGTTGTACAGGCGCCGGTTGCTTCGCCATGGACGAGGCTCGGGTTTGGAGTTGAGGGGGCATCCCAGAAAAGCTGTGACTCGAAGCTGAAGCCTCTGGCAGTCCGGTGCTGCTGCCGACCTGACCTGAGACGGAACTGTGTCAAACAGTGTTGGTTGAGAGTTGAGAATTAGGCGTCCTGGCTTTGCGGGGCATGCGACTCAGAGACGTGCGGGCTTTTCAACTGGCCCCTCGGCTGTGACTGCCTAGGACGGCGCCGGCAGTGCCGGTAGTGCCGCTAGTCCTGCCGGCGATGCCACTAAGGCACGTTGCTTGCCTTGCCTCTGCCGTAGAGATGCATTGATACACGATTGCCCCATAACATGCAGTTGTACTTGTGGCTCGATGCGTCAAACTCTTGCTACTGTAAGGCCGCTCCAGGCCGGGGAACATCATGGGAGGGACACCAAGGGCGACGACAGTCTGTGCAGAGCGTTTGTGTACGCTCTGTTCGCCCGTTTTTCCCAACTGTGCAACATTTTGCAGGTTCCCCCCATGCAGTTCCATCGTTGAGAAGAGGCATGGGCGCGTGTTGCTGCTCTAACTTTGAGGAACGAGACAGTAGAGCTGTGCAGGTGGCGATCTTCCATCGAGACCTGAGGTCTGCGAAGACCTCTTAGGTCTGGACATCGCAGGATTCGTGCGGGACATGACCTTCCAGGACCGACAGAGGTCCACAAGGACCACAAGAGCAACAACATCACGGCCTGCTACAGAAACGGTGGTGACCAGAACGAACAATGGCAACTGGGTGTGCGAAAATGAAAAGCATCAAACGAACCCAGGCTGCACCGCTTCTTGTTTGATGGCCCTGCAGTACAAGCGAAGACTATTCTCGGCAGCTTGCACTGGCTCAACGGCTCGAGCATCGCCTCCACCTGGCAGCTGGAACATGCATCGATCGTCCTTCTGATGGCAAGCAGAGACTACAAGGAACTTCCCATTGTGGGAGCAATATTGTTGTAGATGCATTATGGTCTATGCCCGCGCGCTGCAACACGCGGCCTTGACCTGAGTGAAGTTTGGGTCCAAGCACTGTGGAGGCTAGCGCCAATTTTGCTGGCGTATTTTTTCAACATGGCTGATGGCTGCAACCAGGATTCGGATGACGCTCTTGATGACAGAAGCTTGCCTGAGTGATGTGGGTGAGGGAATGGAGTCGGACTTTTCACTTTGCTTGGCCGAGGGCCCTTTGAAGAGGACCATCCGGGAATGGTGCTGGATGGCATGCTTCTGGAGGTCGCAAGTGGAGTGCCTTGGTTGACCTATACTGAAAGTCTGGGCAGGATCTCATTCCGAGCGAAGCCTCCGAAGGACAGCGCTTTCGTTTGCACCTTTTGCCACTCTGTCTTTCACGATGAATTCAGGATGTGGAGACGGCGACAAGGACACGGCAAGCTTTTAGGGATCCAAGCAGGACTTCTGTTGTTTCAGTCGTGGTCTAGCTTCCCCAAGAGTTGCAAGCTACACGGTTGGGGCCTAACGATGTCAGCAAGGTAACTTCGGAACTAACAAGCGCTGAAAGGCGGGAAGCAGAGCTGCCCACACGACTGCTCTTCGAGACTTCGGTAGCTCGCGTGTCGGGGTATCCTAGACGCTGAACCCTTTCCACAAATAAGGGCTGTCCATCGGCTATGAAGGAACTTTTCAGGCAAGCCTTTTTGGATTTCGGGCTCAGGGTTCGAGGAAGTCGCAGATAGAGGTGACTAAAAGGGTCTTCCATCACACTCGTCAGTGCTGAAGGGATCGAAGAGTCGTTCGGGAACTGCAGCTGATATAAAAAGCTGTGGCAAGTCCGAGTGCGACTATTCAACGTCCATGCGCCTCCCCAGTGTCTGCAGCTGAATATGCAGTGTGCAGGAGGCTGTTGATGAGAACGTGAGGGAAGCTTTACAGGGCGCCTCCAACGGACGCGAAGACGCGACCTCATTTTCATTCCTCCAGCTTGCTCTTAACAATTTTGAAGTCATGCAAGGACTTGGTGATCCAGTGGCGGGAGGCCCCTAAGCCCTGGTGCAGGCATGGCTTTCCGCCTCTCGAATTTAGGAAGCGATGTGGTCCAGGTGTGCAGGCCACGAAGAGCTGGTGCCGTAGCGGCCCAGCCCAGAGGTGCCCGAAAAGATTTCGCTGCTCTTTTTGAAGAATGGCTGAAGGTGCGGTTCCCGGTTCCCGTTCTTAAGATTATCCTTTCGGGTGCATGATTCGTACACGAGGTGCGTGATCTTCAGGGCGTCTTGGTCGAAGCAGGCTACGAGAAGGCAATCCACGATCGAGTTCCTTAGGATGTGTGACCGCGATTTGTTTGTTGCAGGGGTGGAAGGTTTACCAGTACACCAAGGTGCGTTCTGTGCTTGAAACCTGTTCTGCCGGCCTGCAGGGCCCCTCTACGGTATGCGCACGAATGCTTCAGGATCCAGTCGTGAAGAGCCAGCCTACATGGGAGACAGCTTTTCATGGAACTTGGTGGTACTCTGCTAGGGCCCCAGGCAATAGCTGCGGACTCGAGAGGGGCACAGACGCTTTGAGGCAACGGCCCTGCCATGAAGGAATGCGTAAAGGCTTTACTATGGTCCTGCCATGCCGAGGTGTGGTCAGTCTTGGATTCGGGGGTTTTCCTGGAGTCCAATGACCGAGACAAGGGACACGACTTCTGGGAACCCGGAGCACCTTGGCCGACAGCTCCCCAGAGCTTTGCAGAGAGCCGAGGGCCCAGCCGAGGTGTACTGCTCACCGAACCTCTCCACGGCCCGCTGGTACGCGCGGCCGCAGATCCTCTTCGGCGAAGCGCTGAGGGACTTTTTGAGCAAGGCTACACAGTCTGCTGCCAGCCTTCTAGCTGGAGGCGACAAAGTATATCACCGAGTGATCTTCGAGCTACGGGTAAACACAGAGAAGCGCATCCGGAACCGGCAGTACGGCTCTCAGCATGTTGTGCTGCTGGAAGCCGAGCGCAGTCGGATGGCATGAGCTTACCAGGCGCGGTGGCGTGCAGTGGATATTCAAGCCGGATTCGGTGTCCCTGCAGGCCATTTGGGTGCAGAGGCCCACACGCAACAGCATCCTAACAAGCACACTGGCAGTGGGGGAACATGGACGAAGACCAGGAACGCACCCCCGAAGAATGGAGAGGAAAGGATCAACGACTGGGACAGCTAGTCGGGGCTCTGCTGTCTCGCTCAGCAAGTGGTGATGATGTAGCGATGCTTGCAATCTGCTTGCAGGATCCATCCCTGGAAGCACGCCCACTTGGCAAAGAACCAGTGCAGCCGATTGCTGCACACTTACATCCAGCTTGTGACTGCTCAATGCTCCCTCGTTGATTTGAAAAGGCCATCTGGCGAAATCGTTAGCACCACAGAGGCTTGCGTAATCTAGATTGCTTAGTTGTTAACTGGGCCAAAACCAATGCTACGGTCTTCGAACTTGCAACGCAAGCAGCTACAAGACACATCACATGTTTTATCGAATGCTTGATGACAGAAGGTGTGTGACAGCTCTAATCATCAGAATGAACTCACCTGGCAAAGTCCTCCTCAACAGTTTCACAGGGGATGAAAGAGGGTGATGGAGCTGACGTGACCAAGCTCGTGTGAGCCATGAGGCATACTTGCATGAAGATAGGAAGATCAGCCATCAACTTGGAACTCTTTTGATTGGACACCTGTCTTTTCCTTCGCTCGTTTCCACCGCCATGTACTGTAAGGTTTGCAAGGTTTTCCACGTATTGGGAAAGCGACACTACTTGGCAAGATGCAAAATGTCGAGCATTCTTCACAATGTACGTGCCATAGGTAGTTTTGCCAAATGTCGGTTTCCTGACGGGAAGAACGTCGGTCTGATGCACAGCTACGCGTGGCTTCAATTTTCAATCGTTTTCAATAGCACAAGGCTGTTCGGCCATGGCATGTCTGCCAGCTGTGTTTGTTTCAATGCTGTCAGTCAGAGAAACGATGCGGCCCAGGTAAATCCGCGAACGTGCGATTGGTCTGATGCGGAAGAAGACCAAGAAGGCGAAGCAGAGGAGGACGATGAGGAGCTTCCTGGTTCTCCAGTCTCGCACGTTGCGATCTCGTCATTCTCGCAACTTTAGCATCGAGGGGACACAGGCACGCCAGGCCAGCGAACCTAGACCAACAAATCTCGGCATCAAGGCGATCCGGCACAGGGAACTACGTGATCAGGGCCTTCTTTGGGCCGACGCAGCGTCGGCTTCTTCCCTCTGGGCTCCCTTTGACCTTGGAGAGATGCCGGAAGCACTCGCAGCATTTCATGGAACCCAGTCTGCTTTTTTCCGTCAGTTGCTTGGTGCAAGACCCGTTCTGGAGCTTCTCCCGACATGCTGCAAGCACCAAGGAAGGCGGCCAGGATGGCACTTTGCAACTAGCATATCAGCAACTACTCAGAGCTCAAGTCGAGACCCATATCGGATGCTGCACGCAAACGCTCACCCACCTGCACGCATACATGGACATGGACAATCTTCACTGTTCCCTGCCCTTTCCTCTCCTGATTCTCTAAGTTGCTGAGTCACGTGTCAAGTAGCTGTTCGTGCGGATGTTTTGTCGCCAACTGGGATGCCATGAGTTCCTCCAGTGTGGGTTGGAAAGGCATTCGTCTCGACAACCTTTCCTAAGAGTCCGAAGCCTCATGTAATGTGACTGTACTGCGCCAGGACGATGTTCCCCCGCACCTGATGGGCACGAACCAGTCGGATGCCCAGACGAAGCTTCGTTTTGCTGCGTCAAAATGCTTCCGGGATCTGCGATAGCAAAGCTAATCTTGAGGCCGAGGCAGCCAATGAAGCTCCCGTCAGCTGTGGCTGTGACCCAGGGTGCCTCATACTTTGCCTGTGGCCAAGTAACTTTCTTGGAGTAGTGTGACGGCATGATGGCAGTAGTACACATAGCCGAGGCTCGTTACAAGCAAGGAGCGTCAGCCAGAGTCAGGGCCTTTCCTCTTCGGGGCTGCAGAGTTGCACTGGACTAGACGCTCGTGCAAAACCGGAGTAAATCGTTGGGCATCGTTGCCGTGCAAATCCAACACTCGGGACAACGCTTTGTCCAATATCCGACCTGTCTTCAGTGCATCGAACCCGATGTAAACAGGCCTATCATGAACGCATCCATCTGGCGCTAATAGGTCCATTTCATTGTTATATTTGGCGTTCTCGTTTATGTGTGCACATGTACAGACGGCAGATCTAGTCAATCTAGTCACAAATGCCCAGGCCAAGCTACTTGAAATCCGGTGCCGCCAATAGCTAGCAGCTAGCATCTGTACGTCTGTGTTCGGCGAACAAGCGCCGGTTGCTCTGCCGTGGTCAGTTCTGGTTGGTTGTGCTCTCAGGTTGCGCCCTACCCAATCCGGCAAGAGTCCGAAGACAGGACGACGAGTCTGTCCAAAGCTTGAAGTAACACGTAAGAGAGCCTTCGTCATAACTCATTCGGTGTTCACATGTGGAAAGGACTTCCAGATTGTCAGCGCGCGGTGCCCCAGGCCGGCTCCGGTGTCAGCACCAAGACCTGAAAGAAGCGTTTCCAACAGAAGCCAAGCAGCTGTAAAGCGGAGGCTTTACGTCTCTTGGCTGGCCTGGTCCTGCGACGACACCGGCTGCCAGGCCACTCCCTCCTGGCAGTTCCTCAATCGGGTCCAGTCGTCGGATTGAGAGCGCGCACCAGGATGCCGCCACGGCTTCTCGGCTCTGCCCAAGGAGACAAAGCCTGAAGTGGATATGGGCGGCATTCAAAGTGCGTAAACATGAGTGTGCAGGGCCTAGTGTCTCATCTTCATAATAGCCTTCAGAAGTGCTTCGCTCTCTCGGGGGGGGTGTGCTTGCATTGCAAATCAGTATGTTCGAGCTGGTTTGATCACACGGTTACATAGCAACGGAAAACACAAGCGTCACGAGCACAAAGAAATCAAGACATGTGGTGGAATGTGAGTGCATTTTTCTTTCACAGTCTGTGCTTCGGTCAGAGTACTTTCACCAAGAGGCTCCGTTTGGTCGCCAGGTCGGCTCGACAGCATCTGTTGAATGGGACATGCCCATGAATCATCATCCATCGTCTGCCCCACTTACAGTTTGGCAGACCTCGCCCAGTTATGCTCAGAGATTGTCGGCGGGCGGCCCCCGTGCGATTATCATCTGACTATCTTCGATTCATATGATGGGCTGTGTGTGGGCATGTTTCAACCAGCCAAGCCGCGAAGATGTTGCATTGCGCTTTCACTCCTTTCATCAGCAGCTGCTACTCCTCGTTAACCCGCACGTGGCTGTCCATTTGAGTAACAGTCCCGTCACCGATGTGATGTTTGAGTTGCTGTGGATCGAAGTGGTCGTCCGACAATCTGCCGCTTCTCCCCACATAGCCCTTCCCATAGCTGTTGACCCCCCCAGTCAAGTCCCTTTCCGCTGTTATTGACAATGCATGATGCCACGTGCTGTGCTAGTCCTACATTCCGCAGGCCGGTGTCACATTCAAGGCTTTGTGAGTTCGGTCATTCGACAAGTTAAACAGCGGAAGCCAGGGAACCGCCAAAACAGCGTCTTCTGCGATAGTCCTAGAGAAACAGCTCACCACGAGGAAGCCAAAGCAATGCTGCCTGATATCCAAAAAATTCATGTGCTGAGTCTGGATGCCAAGAATTCACATTTACATGGCCGGTGGTATGTTGCAAACGAGATGTTCCAATCGGCACAAAGCCAGGACTGTGGAACTTGCCGATATCTGCAGCGACAGCACGGCCGAGGCACTCGCAAAGCCAGAGTCGCATGCGAAACACGAGAGTTGCAGGATGGGATTCCGAAGTGTGTTGTATTGAATCTCCTCGTCCGCAGGTCGGAGTCGGAGTGGCCCGGGCCGTGGCCCGCCGAGCGGGTGACTCGGCCTCCGAAGCCAAAGCCCCGGAGGTCCGCTCTTCGAGAGTTTTGATGCGCAAACTGCCCTGTCTTACATGCATCTACGGCAGGGCGGCGCCCTATCGTGCAGCCGGGAATGCCGAGAATTTTCCAGGCGCAGACTCTCTGAGCTAGCAAAGCCTTGAGAGATGCACAGAGATGCAAAAGAGAAATACGCGTCGCAGTCGCGTGGAGAGAGCGACTGGAGCGAGCCTCAGCCTCAGGAGCTTCGGTCCTCGCGTCGTCCTCCGAGTCCTTTAAGCCCGGGCCTCTGCACCACGCGGAAAAAGGGGAGCCGGCACATGCGCGCGCGCGTGTGTGTGTTTGTGTTGGTGTTGTTTTGGGCGCCTTTTTGGGTTCCGGTGTATTTTGAAATCTATATGTGTTCAGAGTTCCGGAGCGTGTTTTTTTTTTTGTTTCGGGGCTCTCGGAGGCCAGCCGCCGGCTCCGTGGGTAAGGCCTTCGAGCAGGCTGTGGGATCTGCCACCAAGTGGACTCGTCTTTGGTGGGCTGTGGTAGCCGCGGTAGCCTGTTCAGGCATCACGGGCACCAGACCAAGATCCGACTGAGACATGGGTTGCACCGCTTAAGCTTCCAGCCCCGAAGCGTAAGCCCGCCTCAGCACCTGCAGTGACTGCAGTGACTGCAGAGCCTGCTTGACGGGGCTCCGAGTATCGACTACAGCCTTTTGATGTCAATGCATCCCTGCGGTCTAGGGCCTGGGGCCATGACAGTTCCGAACACGTCCTTGACTTGCACTCCCAACCGATTCAATACGCCTAAATCTGGACGTGTATCATCATCTCCGCTGGCCTGTACATCATACGTGTAAGACGACCTGGGCAGAGCACGTGATTCCCTTGAGGTTTTAGGGTGTGCTGTTTTCAAGAGGACCCCGAAGACAGAGGGGATGGTGGACATCAAAAGACTGAAGCGTTACCTCTAGCCTCGAGGGGCGAGCGAAAAAGGGGTCCCAGCATGAATTGATCCGTCTGGGATTCTGGCACTGTAGAACTTGGTTTTTCAAGTATCGGGCTGCAGGGCAGAGCATGTAAGTCTCTCGCGTTGCTGTCTGGTAGTATCAGAGAGACATAGTTTCTGGCGACGGTGCGGGGGTGGATGAGAATCAGAGTTCTCGTCCCTTTCCTTATACCGTGTGTCTGCGTTTGTAATAGCAGGTTAGGATACCAAGAAGTTTTCATCTGACAGCATTTTGGAGCGGGTCTTGACAAGATGAGGACAACTGCCCCAAGCCCCTACATTCCAGAGCATCCTTCTAAGCGAGCTTCAAGACGATGTCACTGGCAACGGTTCAACGAGACACTCAGAGACAACTTGCAAGCTCAACGGCGAAGCACAGACATGCGCAGACCGACCCGATGCTCCCGTGCTCTGGAACTATCGGACTTGCAGGCTACGGAGTCACAACCTTCGATGGGGTGTACAGTGCATTGCGGGACTTTCTCCGTGCAGATGCCAGCCAGAGTGAGATAAAGACCTTCGAACGCCTGAGCTTTGCAATGCATGCGGACTATGACAGGGTGGCAAGCTGGTGCCCTGCAGTCACACCTGTGGCGCTGGTTGCGGCTGCTTTTTCCATTATTCTGAGGATGTTCCCTGTGGCTTCAGCTGACACGCCACAAGGGCTCCTGCAACCATGGATGGGGGAGGCAAGATCATCAATGAACATGGCCTTGGACGTTTTCAACGATCACGCCAGTGACGTTCCCGGGTCCTCAGCAATGGTCAGAAACTTGTTGCAGACTGCGCGCTCAAGGTTCGATGATATTTCGATTGTGCTGAGGGATGCCGGCCTGGAGCCATGGTTTGGTGGAAGCTGGAAAGGCCCAACACGGGCCTGGGTACGCAGTCCTGGCTTGCTTCGGTATTTCAAATGCTTCAATCCGCGGCAATATCTTTATCTCCCTGTCCCCAGCAGTGATCCACGAAATCCTCAGAGCTTTTCCTATGACGTGCATCTTTGGCCTGCACGCCGAGAGATGCGAGGGAGGTCTGATCAAGTGGTCGAAAGAGCGTGGCGAGATGTGAGGCAGCTTGGCACGGCATGCACTTTGCCAAGTGGCTATCAAGTCCACCCTCCAATTAAAGGTAAGTCGTAGCGTTCCGAATGTACAAGCTGAAGCAGTGCAGTAGCCTGCTTGCTTATTATTTTTGGTAGCATATAACTCTCAAAGAAAGCACTTGGCGACAGAATGAGGGCATCATCATTCAGGCTTGCCGATAGCGGCATTCGGGATTGACTGGATGTCACAGGAGAGCGAGGAAAGGAAGGGGCCCTGTGATCGCGACTGGCCCCGCTCTCTTCCCTCTCACTCTCACTTCGCGTGATGAGCAGGTCGGCCCTGTCAGCATTTTTTTCATCCAAAGGCATATCTTTGCACCAGAGGCCTCTGCCCGTATGCAGCGCACACTTAGGACCTAGGAAGGCATGTTTCGATGCGGAACTACCATCCTCTAAATGTGTGGCATATACTGAGGCAAGAAGGCTGCCGCATCTAAATTAGCGTGAACATCGTGTTGGCAGAAAGCCGCAGCCAAGGAAAGCAGTCGGACAGATTCTTGGACCTGGAGCTATTTATTTTCCAGTTGCCGGTACTCTCATTGGCCTCATGCGGCACGGAAGAACAGTGGGTTGGTTGACGGAGGGGAAGATAGACGTGGTTGACAGAGACGTGGATTTGTACCTGGTGCTGCCATCGGCAAAGGCATATCTTGCGTTTTGTTTTGCGATGACGCAGAGTTTGAGGCGTGCAGGATGGCTCGGCTGTAGCCTGAAATGGCGACAAGATTGGAGCCAAACAACTTTGCCGCAGGTTGACGAATTCTTTGACTTCAGGAGATCCTTCACGCTTCAGTGCCATCTGCTGGGAGACCAGGGAGATTCACTTTTGGAAATCAAGTGGCTAATGCCTGTCATCTCTGTGCCAAGCCCATGCCCGCGGAATCTCACAGATGCGCTTCTCCCCAGTTTCTTAGAGAACCCGCACTTTGACGCCGTTTCCTGCTGTGGTGGAGTACAGCTCATGCCGGAAAACATGAACGTCAGCTCGGTGCCGGGAAACGTTGCGATTACCACCGGCCCCATCTATTGCCCACCACACAGCTCTGAAAATTGCTGGTCTTTGGCAACACAATTTAGGAAATGGAAGGGGGTTGTACCGGCCTCTGTCTGGAACTCGCGAGGGAGATGTCGGGCTTACAAGGGTGCTGTAAGGTGCATGCGAAAATCGACGTTGTTTCTGCAGACGGCAGGCGAATCCGACCTCTACCATGCCGGCGGGTCTTGCCTTGCCTTGCCTGACTTGGCATGCCCAGGCCCAGGACAAACTGAGTGGCCCAGTGGCCGGTCGAAGTCTACGGAGAACTTGCGTTTGACGCAGGGCCTCACGGATGCAGATGTGCAAGTGTTGGTCTCACGCATGCTTGAGATGAGAGACTCCGGCTTCGTGACACATAACATCACTGATTGCGACCTCCGGCTTTGCATCAGAAAAAGTGCTGAACTTCGTCCCTCCAGCTGCTGCTCCTTCCAAGACGCTGTCCGGAAGGTTGGGGTAGGAGCCGACGGCCGACAGTTGCAAAGACATCAGCTTTCAATGCCAAAGGTTGGCCGAAGGCGCAGAAGCGCCTGCTGCAAACATGGTCAAGTTTAGCTTGCACCGTACTTACTTCCTTACAGCTTTCAGATGCAGACATCCAGATTTTTCCTTAATCCAGTTGTGAAATCAGGTCTATCAATGGCGCCTGAAGTGATGGCTCAAGATGCCGAGCAATTAACAAAGAAGCGCATACCGTCGTGAACTTGTGATTTAAGAGGTTGTCTTCACGTAGCTTGAAAAAGCTTTGTTGAATTTAATTTAGATCGCAAGACCGCTCCAACCTGTCCAGCTTCCTTCCTGCCCACTGCTAGGTGATGGGCGGGATTGAATTAGAATCGTTGCCATGAGTTCCAAGAGATCAAAGCGAAGAAAAGAAGCTAAAAGCAAGGAGGCATTTCTACGTGTGAAGTGCAAGGGAGAAGGTTTAGCTGTGCAAGACTGCATGTTTTGTTCCCTGTGAGAGGTAAAGAAAGACCTAACACCTCAGTTCGTGAACTGTGACCTTGCGGACAACAAGTATTCTGGCATAATCCGAGAGGCGGCTTTGTCTGCTCTCAAAGCTTCACCGTTCTGAGCGTCCTTCTTCCACCCTCGGCCAGGATCACCTGGGCTCTCAGTTTCTCGAAGGGCTCTCCTCCACATACATCTGGTCGGAGGCTGAGAGCGCCAAATGCCAAAAGCAACGCCGTGCGAGTGCGACGCGGTTTTCTCGAGGTCAACCGGCACCAAGTACGAAGGGTGCGCCGATTTTTCGCGTGCGTGTTGCTGTTTGCTTTCGCGTGGATGGGGTCCCGTTGGAGGCCTTTCATTGCGAGCCAGATTGAGGGCCGTGGCAAGCGAGCCCATCTTGTTGAGGGCCTTCTTGAGCTTGGGAGCTGGAGGCGAGAGCAACTCTTGGAGTTTTGTCTCGCTTGGCAGATTTACCTGGCCCGATGGATCCAAGTACGAGGTTCCGGCCGGCGCCGTGTCATGTTACAACACCGCGAAGGGCTTGCTACCTGCAGGGAGAACTATTAGGTGGAAGACGGAATGGCCAGAACCTGAAGAGCCCTACTGTAGAGTGCCAAAAGCTGTCCGTTTCCTTGTTCTTCCTGGCATGAGGCGATGGCGCCTACGAAGCCCTAGACGGCCAGCTTTGCTGTCATGACTGAGCGGAGGAGCCCTTCGGTAACACTTGCATGTTGCAGGCAAGACTCGCTACGATGGCCAGTGGCTGGATGGCAAGCGGCACGGGTGACTCCCTGAACAACATCTCAGCAGAACATTCAATTCCTGAGCCGACGACGGCCCTCAGGCAGGGCAAGCTCACCTACAATTCCGACACCACCTCGTACTACGACGGTGGCTGGCAGGTGTGAATTTGAATTTTGTATGCACTTGAGCGTGCAACTTGGCTCCTTCAACCTCTTGGCCATCGCCAAGCTGACATAGGCTGGCCAGAAACATGGCTATGGGAAGCAGTCAGCACCTAAGATCCTTCAGGGTCTGCGAGTAATGGCTCGGACCAACTATCGGCTTTTGTTCCGAGGTTGTGGCCAAGCGGAAACTGCTACGAAGGAGAATGGAAGCACCATGCCTCAGCCTCCACCATCCAACCATCCAGCCCCCTCCTGATTTGTGCACCGGTACACAGACATGTGGAGTCAGGCTGGGGAAAATGAGTGGACATGGAACCATGATCTGGAGAAACGGAACGAGCTGCTTGGAGGCAGAAGGCGTTTTGCTGCATTCACCTCAGATGCTTCTGATGGATTTCAACGCCAAGCAGTAGCTAAGGTGCTGAAGTCTACACTGGTGAGTGGGTGGAGTCTTGGAGTCGCATAGTTGACTTTACCTCCGCAGCCTGCAGTTCTTCTCTAACCTGCCCAGGACAACTGCCCGCATGGTGCGCTTCGGAACAGAGATTCTTGTTCGCTGTCGAACGAAACAGTTCAGTTTACTTGTTCCAGGTGAAGGCACGCACACCTGGCTCACCATGGACCCGAGCACCGATGCTGCGACCACGGCACCTTGGCATTCGCGAGAGAGACTGTTTGTACGTTGGCACATCACAAGGCCCCTGGGTCTGCACAGGAGAGCTGGCTGAATCGCCCGGCATCACCGCCTTCGGCGCAGGCTCGAGTTCAAGCTGCTAGGCCTGGCATTTGTGCAGACGAAGGTCACGGGCTCGCCTGGCTTCAACTCACAGCAGGCTTGATCCCAAAACCATGGTAATGTCGATACTGGATTCCGTACATGTGAAACAGCTGCACCTGCAGATGATGCTGGAGCTTGCAGGAGCTGCGCCGACATGAAGCTCAAATTCACGCCACGCAACAGTTGCTTGTTTCAGGAACAGATGTGTTGACCATGGGGGCATTGTGGTTTCAAGAACTCTGCCCGTGCTCCCAAGGCTCAACAATCGCTACACTGGCCAGTGGGTGTGGGGCCGCCTTTGCCCAAGAGCATCGACATCTCTGTCTGTGGCCACCGGCTGGTGCCTGTGCTTCAGGACGGGAGGGTACCGGAACCTTCTACTATGCAAATGGCGCCTACTACCATGGCGACACTCCAACGCATTTGCCTCCCCCGTGTAAAGACATGCGCAGTCAGTGCCTTTGTAATTTTGAGGAATGGAAGGGCAACGTCAAGGAGGGTCATGGTCGCCACACCTTCGACGATGGGAAAGTGTACGATGGGTCATTGCCCTGTCGACTCAGATTGGATCTGCGATGCGGTGCATTCGAGAATAGATGATGCCAAGGAAGTTTGAGGCAGACCGCATGGTGGATTACAGCCTGAGCCACAGCTCCGGCAACCCTCGATGGGTATGCCGTCTCGCCTCGTCCTATTGTCTTACTTCCGAGATTTCTGTTACGTCCTGTGTCCTGTGCAGGCCGCCCAGAGCCTTCCGCGAAGAGTTTGGACGACAATCCTATTTGTGGAAGCAACCTCAATGAACAACGTGTTTGCGAAATTTCGCTGCGAGCTATCGAGGTTGCACAGATATCACCGACATGGAAGTTATCTTGAGGCACTTGGTGGAGACTTCGTTGCATCGAGTTGACTCGGTAGCGCTGCGGCAGTCGCTGTAGGCCATCAGACAAAGCCGGCTTCACACAGACACCTGGGTCTGGCTCGAAGCTTAACATTGAAGTTTCGCGTTTGCCCAGCCTTGCTTTTGTCATGTCGGGGGAGGTTACAGCGACCCAGTCAAGATCTTGCCCAGAGCTTAGTTACGCGCATTGTACCCGCAGGGAGCTTTGCTGAGCTGTGTGCGCTTCCAGGAAGGGCATCTACAACGTCCTCTTGAGGATTCTTCCCGTGTCGTTCGGACATACCTCTCGACTTCTGTAAGCTTTCCAGGAATCTGGGAGATCTGCGCGAGGCCAGCTAGAAAGTCTGCAGTGCTAATTGAAACAGCATTCCGCCCTTCCCACAAGGGGTATTCGCGCTCCCGATCGGTACAGCCTCAGCTCGGCGAGGACGGTGGTGATCTAATTAGATGACCGGGAACCGGAAGTTTTACAGTTGGTTTTACAGTTCAGGCTTGTAATAACTAATCATTCCCACTGCATTGATTTCTGTGTGTATGTGTGTGTGTGTGGGATTTATGGCGGTGACCTGTCTGTGTCTGTACATATTATACCAAGAGAAAGCGTCGCCCTGGAACCCCATTTTGTGATATTTCTAAAACATTGACTTCCAGGTCTTTTTCAAAAACACAAACTGGGTGAACTATGTCCCGGTAGACGTAGAGTAAACCAACAAAATGGATATCACAGAGTAGACAGCAGGAAGGAGGGACTGCGCGCAATGTGCTTGGCCCATGGCTTCGGGGAAAGGATGGTGGGGGGGGGGGCTAGGCAAAACAATAAAAATCGAATTTCTCAAAATTTTTAAGTGCGTGAGGCTTTGAGAACAAACCCAAACTCAAACCCAACTCAAGACAAAAGGGGATGCACACAAGTCCTTTCTTTTTCTCATTTCATTCACTACCCTGGCAGACATAGCAGGGTTGTCCTTGTATAAATCATATTACCTACCCACAGACATGCGTCGTATCCTATTTTCATGTTTTACATGAATATGCCAGGAAGCACGCGGAAAAGTAGTCGTCAGCCACTTCTCTTCTTTTTTCCCGCTCCCCGCGCGAACTATTGCTACTAAATAGCTGCTACTACTTCTTTTTGTGGCTTCTAGAGCAGCAAAAGTAGTAGTGGATGTGGTTGTCAAGTCGTCGTAGTAGTAGTAGGAGGTGGTAGTAGTAGAAGCAGCAGCAGCAGTGGTCGTCGTAGTCGGTAGTGGTGGTGGTAGTAGTAGTAGAAGCAGCAGCAGCAGCAGCAGCAGCAGTCGTAGTAGTAGTCGTAGTAGTAGACGGAGTAGTAGTAGTAGTAGTAGTAGTAGTAGTAGTAGTAAGAAGAAGAAGAA